TCTTTCCATCCTTGTGTGTGTGTTTTTCAAACCTAATCTTTCCATCCTTGTGTGTGTATTTTTCAAACCTAATCTTTCCATCCTTGTGTGTGTGTTTTTCAAACCTAATCTTTCCATCCTTGTGTGTGTGTTTTTCAAACCTAATCTTTCCATCCCTGTGTGTGTGTTTTTCAATCTTTCCATCCTTGTGTGTGTGTGTAACCTTTCAACAATACTTATTTTCTCCTACACAGTTTTTCAAAATATTTTTTTTTTAATTCTGGAATTCCAAGAACCAATGGTCTGTATTTCCTCCTTTGGACTCGACACATTTGAACGCGTCGTTCGTAATGTGCAGTGGTCAAAGCCACACAAACTGTACACACACACACACACACACACACACACACACACACACACACACACACACACACACACACACACACACACTGTACACCTTACAGTATGGAGTTGTTTCTAGAGACAATTGGGGGAGGGGGATGAGGTTCCCCAAATAGACAGCATTAATTTGTGGAGTTGATATAACCTGAAAGGTGTATATGGGCTTTGCCAAGGAACCAAATGTCATAAAGGAAATGTTTCCGCTTTTCAAGATGATCAAGGAATCATGAACACATTGCTATCCTCTGATAGCTTCGCGAACTCGAAAATGGTACAGTCGTAGATGAAGATCTGCCTTGAGAATGCGGACCATTGAGATGTAGGAAAGTCATTGCTGCAGACATCGTCTTCGGACAGGCCTCTCTTAGGGCTCATCTACTGAATTCTGCACCCTGGTGACGTTTAAAGTGGTGCGAACGTTGTGTGTTTGACCTGAAGTGGTCGTTTTGTCTGGGAATTTTTAGTTCTGATTTTCTACAGGTCCTAACAGATGGACCATTTTCACCCTTGACATCAAAGAAGGCCTTAAGGACACTTTAACATTATTTCCGTGCCTTGTGCGAAACTTACGTGCCTTGTGCGAAACTTACGACATGAGTTGGTGATGAGGAAATGTTCAATACAAAAAGCTTTCTGCTCTTTACTAATCCTAACCATAATCTCAGCAGGCAAAGGAAACTTGAGAAAAATTATCTGCAAACTTCTGTTGGCCTGTTAGATTACTGTAGTTTGCAATATGGAGCAATCGTTGGGATTTTTAGTTGTAGGTCTAATGGGAACTAGTGCGTCCTGCTACAGAAATGGGGACATAGATCTAGCTGACAATGGTTGTTTTTTACGTGCCATGTAGAGCAAAACAATTCTGTGAATTTATCTAAAATGAATATCAGACAAATTCCTTTTGACTTCCAAAATAATGTTGTGTACAAATTTGAAACTTAAACCTTCAGTGTGGAGGAAAATATTAACCCAAAAAAGTTGTACAGTTGTTTGTTGGGGGGGTTGTTGTTTTTT